AAAAAAAAAGATCTACCATATCAATTATAAGATAATATCCAGATGTAGCCAAGCAAGACCTGTTAATTCAGAATAAATTAAAAATAATAAAGCTATTATTCAGATCTATGCACCAATAATTTAACTTTAAAGATTAAAAAATTGAAGATTTCTACCAACCAGACATATGGCCTAGAAAAAAATTTAATGTCTTTTTGGCTCCCTCTAGTGGTTCAAATTTATATAACGTCTTACTCTGAGATTAGTTCTGTTGTACTCAGTACAGGCTGTGGTATTCACAGTCACTTGCATGCATCAGAGAGCATGACAATGACTAAAGATGACTGAAGAAGAATTGATGCCGTGGAGTTGTGGTGCTGTAGAAGAGTACTGAACATACCATGGACCACCAAGAAAACAAATAAGTCTGTCTTGGAGAAGGTGAAACCAAGTTTCTCCTTGGAGGCTAGGATTTTGAAGCTCCATCTCATGTATTTTGGGCACATGGACAGGAGGGACAAGCCCTTGGAGAAGGACATCATGCTTGGAATGGTGGAGGGACAGTACAGGAGAGGAGGACTCCAGATTAGATGGTCTGATACAGTAACTGGGGCAATGGGAGGGCAGTTCTTGGGCAGCTGGAGTCAGAGAGACTGGCAGGCTTCAGAGATTTTGTACATAGGGTCGCTATGAGTCACACACAACTTGATGGCACATAACAATGACAACAACAACTCAGTACAGGACTAAAAATGGAACCCTCCAATAGGTTTCTGAGACTGAAAATCACAAGGGAAGTGAATGCCCATCTTTCTGCCTCTGAGTTGTAGGTGAATCCCAACCATTAGAGAGGCACAGCCTCTGGTTACAGCACCAATCCCTATGGACTGTCCTCTCAGAGTTGTACACAGGGTAGCTATTAGAGCCGAGTGGATGGCCTCGAATAACAATTCTTTTTTAACATGGAAAATAAAATATGTTTATATGCTAAATATAAAAGGGACATAAAATTGTATATACAGTAGAATAACAGCTATGTAAACACACGATAAAACTATGCTCTGAAATGTCTAGAAGAACATTTACAACCAAAGATTACAGTGGATGGCAAACTGATTCTTTGAACAATTTTCCAATTTATCTTAATAAGCATTATGATTGCAACTGGTTAATTTTTTAAAAATACCCTTCTGGCTGCTGGATGAACGTGTGGCACTGCTGCCGTTATACAAACAGGTGGTTCTGGACCAACTCCTGAGGGTTGCAAGTAGCTCATCATTGAGACTAAATCAGCCACTACTGACCCCATGGCAGCACCAAATACCCAGCCCTTAGCACTTCTGGCCACAGGCCCCTCTTCATTCTGCCCTCTCCACCATATCTCCAGTTGTTTCCCACTCTTTCCTTCTCTAACTCAGGCATCAACTCTGCAGCCACAGAGCTCAGCCCACAACAGAGACCCCACAAAGACATGTTTTCTAAAGCTGTTATCTCAGTTTGGGACACAAAGAAAACATTTTCTTATTGCTGAGCAAGTCATGCTTGATTTGCTCAGGTTGCAGATATGTTAATTACGCCACCTTTCTTAACCCTGTTGTAAGAACCCTCTTACTCCTACCACGAATTTTCCACCTCAGAATGCGGGAGTATGCAGAAAGAGCTCAGATCATGTGGTTTCTTAAGCCTCTCTGCTATGCAGTGGGTGGTACCTAAGCAGCTACAGACTCAGGTTGTTGTTTAGAAAAGGCTTGCTGTCTTTCACTTGAGAAACAAGTCAGAAAGTAACAGGGAGTGATTCAGAGCTTAACCCTACAGCTGAACTGAGCAATGATGGCTTGTTTAATCACCTAGTAGCTACACACTCTTGGGGAAATCACAACTTTGTTGAGCTAAAATTCTTAGAACGCCAGGGACTTGCCTGCAAAGGTGTTGCCTGCTTAAATGTTTGGGAACTAAGCAAATGAACATGTCTTGTTCTAATAAGCCCATGTAGGGGAAGGAATGGCCTTAAACTAACTTCAGACCATTTCAACCTGTGCCTGGAGAACACCCCTCCCTTTCCTAATAGCAAGCAAGGGAAAGAAAGGAGCCTCAGACAAACCGTATGGTTCCAGCATCCTGTCTGTAGCTTCTAAAGGCCAGACACATAAGGCATGCATGAGTTGACTGTCAGGGATATACAGGTGCAGACAAGACCATCACTGGGTAGAAGGGGACTAATGCTGCAGAGGGCCATTTAAGGAATACAGGGAGTTACCTCAAGACCTCATTTAACTGCCATGGAAACAGCAAACACTTGAAACTTTCCTTCACTCAGTCTCCTGAAGGAAAAATGGTAATAATGAAGCCTAATACTCATGGCAAACACTACTCGCAAGGAAGCAGTCTTTCTGTTGGGCTGCCGGGACTCTTAATTCCCTCAGCTGAACAGAGAGGAACAGCAGATGATTACAAGGAAACCAGGTTTCTTAGCATCCTTAAACCATGTATATACGTATGTATATATAGTTTACATAATTCCTGGAGGCACAAGCTAAAGTGCTTCAGTGCTAACAACAGCAAAAAAGTTCGTGTTTCAACCTCAATAGCTGCTCCATGACAGAGAGAGATGTAGTAGTTTGCTTCCCTAAAGATTTACAACCTTAGAAGCTCTACAGAAACATTGTATTATAAGGTCACAATGAGGGACATCATGTTTGGAAAGGTGGAGGATCGGTGAAAGAGGTAAAGACTCTCAGTGAGATGAACTGATGCCGTTGTGGCGATGGGCTCAAGTGTGTTGGGATGTTAAAGATGATGCAGGATACGACACGGTCCAGATCTGTTGTTGACAGGATTGCTATGAGTTGTACTCAATTTGATGGCACTTATCAATGAACTGATGAATTTACCATGGACTGCCAAAAGGACAAACAAACCTGTCTTGAAGGAAGTACAACTAGAGTTGTTAATGATAGAGAAACTTTGTCTCACTTTAAACATAGTTTCAGGAGGAATCCATCATCCTTGAGAGAAATATCATGCTGGGAAATATCAGCAGAAGAGAGGTCGACCCTCAGTGAGATAGACTAACACAGTGACTACCACAGTGGGCTTCAGCATGACAGAGGCTGTGAGGGTGGGGCAGGATGGGGCAAGGAGGCTATGTTGTTGGTGTTGTTAGACGCTCTCACTAATTTAGAGAGGTCCCTGCCTGCAGATTTCCCCAGCGCAGAGGGGGTGAAAAGTCATAACCTGAAGGCACCAAATGAAAATAGTATTGATTTAAATTAATAATAACACCAATACTTAAATAAATATTATTTTCATTGTTACTTCAACATTATATTTAATCTTCACCTGAAAATGAAAAGTATGTTTATATTTTTAATATATATTGTAAAAGATTTGAATATCTAAAAAGTAATTAACACACTGGCAAATAATAGCATATAACCAAAGGGTAAATTAACAACCAGTATTCCCTACTCAGAAACGAGAATGCTTAGGAGTGGTTTTATTAAGAGTTTTTGGTACATGTTCCTAATAAACTGCTTTCATAACATTATGATTAAAATTTTTATTGAGGGCCACTGAAATTTTCAATGAATCTTTAAGTAAATTTAATGGATTCTTGTTTACAAGGGTTAAGTAGGTTAGTCAAAGGCAGGAAATTAGACCAAGGAAAACTATATAGGTCCTTTCCTACATTATTCTTTCATATTTTATATTTTTTTTCTTAATTAAACATCATAAACTATTATTGGGTTTTATTTATTTGTTTTTTTGTTGTTGTTGGTTTTCTTTGTTTGATCTTAAATTCTGGTATACATAATCTCTCTTTTGAAAAATAATTTAAGTCTTAGTCTCCTCCTGTACCAGTCAGATCCGAATTGACAGTACACACACACAAATAATAAAAATAAAAATAAAAAATAACTTGCCTTATTTCTAGAAAAGTTATTAAGGTTTTTTATTTATCAGAAAGCTCATTTTCATTTAAAAATGTTATCTTATATAAAGAGGAAAAAACCCAAACTTACAGAGAGTCATTCCCATAAATGTCACTTTTTTTGTTCTGTGTCAAATAATAGAACTGTTCAATTGGCATTTTTCTGAAAAGGAAAGAAAGATTAAATAAATCAAACATTTAAAAATTATATGTGGTATAGTATTGGGACAGTAAGGCAGACTAATATAATTTTGCATATGTGCCAATTCAGTATGTGAAAATGTAGCATTTTCAATCAATAAAAAAAGGATATACTTTAACATAAATAACACAAGATAAATCCACTATCCATTTGGAAAAAAATCTTTATTTCATATAATTTAACAAGATAATTTTAGTGAATTAAAATTCTAGAGAGCTGAAAAACCCCATAAAATATCAAAATAGAATCTATAAGAATTAAATTACTTTTTTCTTTTAAAAGAAAAAAAATTGGCAGCATCAAATTAAATAAAAACTTTATAAGGCAATGGACATCATAAAAAGAGTTTAAATAAAATACTGAAAAAATAATACTTGCAATAGAGCTAAAAGATATGCAGAAGACATGTTGTTGTTAAGACACCATTACATCAGTTCCAACTCACAGCGACCCCACAGACAACAGAATGGAACACTGTCCGATCCTGCAATATCCTCACATTCACCACTGAGCTTTTAACCATTGTGCCACCAGGACTCCTCCATGAAGGTTGTTGACACAATTCTGTTGTGTCCTATAGGGTCACTGTAGTCTGTCCTGACTCAATGCCAATAAGTTTAAAATATTATGAACATTCTTAACAGTGAAATTCATTGGTGAACATTCTTGTAGAGAATACATAATCGTCACACTCCTAAGTCAATTTCAGAGACTAGAAGTACATTTTCTGTCCATCTATGTCAGGTAGATAGCCTTTCTGGGATACTGGAGAAAGATTCATGAACAACCTGTGTGAATGCATATGATACAGTCTTGCTTGTAGAAAGTAAGATGTGAAGCACTTACTAAAAGAAGACCAAAGACTACATAATCTTCAAATGAGGTACAGATGAATACCAAGAAAACAAAAATTCTTACCACTGGGCCAATAAACATGATAGATGGACAAACGATTGAAATTGTCAATGATCTCCTTTACTTGGATCCACAATCAACACATTTTGTAGCAGCAGTAAAAAAATCAAGTCATGTTAATTACTGTCAAAGACTTGTTTAAAGAGCAAGGATGTCAGTTTAAAGACTAAGATGTACCTAATCTAAACTATGATATGCTTTGTATGCATCTGAAAATTGGACAATGAATAAAGAAAACCAAAGAAGAGTCAATGTCTTTGAATTGTAGTGGTTGTGAAGAGTATTGAATATCCCATGGACTGCCAAAAGAACAAACAAATCTTTCTTAGAGGAAGTACACCAGAGTGTTCCTTTAGAAGTAAGGTGGTTAATCTTGGTCTCACACACTTTGGGCATGTTTTTAGGATAGGCCAATGCTTGGAAAAATTACTGTCCTAGGAAAAGTAGAGGGTCATGAAAAAGAGGAAGATTCTCAACAGATGATCCACACTTTGACTACCACAATGGGCTTGAGTATGGCAGAGATTGAAAGGATGGTGCAGGGTAGGGTAAGAGTCAGATCTGGTGCTTGTAATGTGGTTATGGGTTGTAGTCAGCTTGATGACACCTAACAATGACGTGTTGGGTATATGAAATTCACAGTATAGATTCACTGTACAAGTATGATTGGTCAAAAGATAATCAGCATCTCTGAAAGATAGTTGAACACTACAACATTAAACATTATAGATAAGGTTCCGTTCTCTTTGAGCTCTATTTCAATCCTAGTTTTCTGAAGTGTAAAACACAATATATACAAATTTTAAATGCAAATCCATTTTAATAAATTTTTTAAAAATCCCAGTTTCCTTGCTTGAGACAATCACTGGTTACCAATTTGGTAAGTCTTGTTGACACCTTTAGTTATTTATATAATTATAGATGGGCACTTTGAAAAGATTTGACCCAATTTTATATGTGGAATCACTTGATAATATTAGGCAACCTGGGTTCACGTGTACAATTAAGCGTTATGGAATTCTCATTTTTTTCCCCATAAATTGTTATGATCAACATAATGAGTAAAGCAAAGTAAAACCTGTTGTTGTTGTTGTTATGTGCCGTCGAGTCGCCTGCGACTCATAGCGACCCTATGTACAACAGCCCTAAACTCCGCTCTGACCTAGCCAACAAAAATTTTATTGATATTCTCTGCTTTATGAAAAAAATCCATCTTTTTATAGCAATGATATATTCTATGTCTTCTACAGAATTTGGTTTGAATTGGTTGAAATAGTTTCTGATCCAATCCTTTTAAAATTATCTTCAGCAAGATTTTACTTGCACTAATAATAATAATAATGACAATGTTTGATAATTACTGCATTCTTTTGGATCATCTTTCCTTTGAATGGACAAAAATATGTATGTCTTCCAGTTTGTTGTTCATGTAACTGTCATTCAAATGTCTTGGTGAAGAGGAGTGAGTATCTGCAGTACTACATTCTATTTGTTGAAATATTTCAATCAGCAATTCAACAGTTCCTGGAGTCTTCTTTTTTACCAATGCCTTCTTGGGCTTCTTTGGTTCTCAATCATATGCTACCTCTGAAATGGCCCAGTGTCAACAAATTGTTTTTAGTATAGCACCTCTGTGCATTACTTCTATTTGCTTTTGATGCTTCCTGTATCATTCAATATTTTGCCTTTTCACTCTTTCAAATTTAAATTCAGGGATTAAATTTTTGTTGTGTCCTTTTGGTTTGAGAAATGCTGAGTGTATTCTTCCAATTTTTATTTTCTCACTTCAGGTTTTTGTACATTTCATTATAATACTTTAGCTTCTTAAGCCTCTCTTTAAAATCTTCTATCCAGTTATCTTACTTCATCATTTCTTCCTTTCCCTTTAGCTTCTTTATGTTCTAGAACAAGTTTCCGAGTTTCCTCTAACATCTATTTTGATCTTTTACTTTTTAATGACTATTTTGTTGGATTTTTTTTTTAATCTTGGTTGTTTGTTTTTTTTTTTTTTTGTTGTTGTTGTTGTTGTTTTTTTCCCACAGGTTAAATTTTTTATAGTCTGTTTCTTTCTTTTTTATTAAATTTTATCAATTTTACTGAACATTTACAGAGATTTGGGGTTTTCATTCTTTCATTGTTGCACTATTTTCTTGACCCTCCTCCCCAGTTCGTTCATCTTTTCCCCCCCTTGAAAATCTGTTTTAATTGTCCAATTGCCACAGTGCTTGTCAAAGCCAGTTCTGATTAATCTCCTTTGTCAGTGTGTC